ACGACGCTCGCAACTACATAAGGACATAATATGAGCGCTAAGTGGTGGGTGTCAACAGAGAAGTCCAATTTAATGGGGATTCACCTCTCTAGCCTCAACAGCACAAAGTCTGCTTCGACTATCAAGGCACCCCGGAAACAGCAGTTCACAAGAGAGTGACAAACAGTGTACAAAAGAAATAGAGAAAAAAATGACTATTGTAAGGGCGAGGAAAGAAAAAGCAGCAGAACCCCCCCCCCCCCCCCCCCCCCCTATGTTGCTCCGACACAGTATGAGCATGGCATTGATAAATCAACCCATTTACAATTCTACTGTGCACAAGAACATGTTAATACTCCCCCCCCCCCCTCCCTTTAGGGAATGGCCTAAAGACACCAGTCAGTAGCACTGTTCGGGGGTGGGGGCAGGGGAGAGGTGCCTATGATGAGCATAATAACTCATTTTTGTGTTCTCGCGTCATTGTTTTGTTCTCCTTTGCATAACAACGTCATGTAACTTATTTAGAGAGAACATTGATTATGTATGAAAAGGCTAAAACAGTACGTTATTTTGCAAGACATTATTGGACGGGTTTGTTGGGGTGGGGTGGGGGGGTCAATTCAGTTTAGGTAAAAAGAAGCACATGGACTCAATAGGCCAAACGATCGTTTAGAACAACAACAACAATAACAACAACAACAAAGAGTAAGACTGATAGACAAAAGCGATAGAGGGAAAGTAAAGAAGCACCCTCCAGACACCTGAGAATCTGGTGTTACAGAAGCGTGTAATGGCAAAGTGAATTAACCATGTAACTTCACAGCGCAGCCAAAACCATTTCGATCGAAAAGCGATTCGAAAAAAAATCGAAGAAAATCCATTAGCACTGCGAACAAAATCCCAAATGTTCTCTTACTACTCTTTAAGGTGCGATCGTTTATTTTTCTATGGTTTGTGTGGCCTTACGGTGGGCTTTTATTTGTGGAAAGGGGGGGGGGGTTCTATGGTCGATTCGGGTACCTTGGTAGAAAGGAGATGGGGGGGGGGGGGTTAAGGAAAACGTTACGGACACGGGATTCATAACCATTTTTATAATTTTACAATGAAACAGTGAAATAGAAAATAGGGAAGAAATAGGCTAAAACAACCCTAAAACAAAGATAGATATATAGATGGTTTTCTTTATAAATAAATTCTCAATGGTTCAGGGGGCTCTCGTGTCCTAGAGGCTAAAGTGTTCGCCTCTCATTCAAAGGTACCGGGTTGGAATCCGAAAATTTTATTCTCTAAAATTGTCTCCTTTCACCTCCTTTCCTGATCTCTAGCAATGTTCTGTCGTCTGCTTTCGTCTCCACTTTCTGCCCCCACGCCCTCACCTCCTTTGCCCCCTCCTCTGGGCCCCTGACTCTTTCTGCAGCCTTTCTTCTGCTACTCCCTGGCTCTTTTTACTGCTGTCTTTCTGCCACACCCCTGATCTTCAGGTAAGAAAGATCTACAACTTGCCTTCTCGGACAGGGACGAAAAATCTTGGAGGTCCTGTGTGCAAGTTGCGCACGTTAAAGATCCCTTGGTGGTCTAAAATCGATAAGAGTAGGCAAAATTCTAAATTTCCTATCAACTGAAAAAGTTTAAGTGTTCCGCGCGCCCATATGACCTTCTGCAGTTGCGAGCGCCGTAAAACACCTACCAAAAAAAATAATTTAAAAATCATTAGTTCATGTTATGGCGGCGCCTTAAAACCAGAAAGAGAGATTGATTGTAATAGTTAATTATGTCTTACGGTCCCGTCGACACAGTTAACATTAGGAGATGAGAGGAAGAAAGAGAGAAATAAATGAAGCAGCGTCCGTCGTATGTACGTGTGTGTGTACTGTGTGTATGTGTGTATGTGTGTGTATGTGTGTGTGTATGTCTGTGTCCACGTTTCTGTTTATGTGTGTGTTTGTGTGAGTGTATGTGCGTGTCTGTGTGTGTGTGTGTGTGTGTGTGTGTGTGTGTGTGTGTGTGAGAGAGAGAGAGAGAGAGAGAGAGTGAGAGAGAGAGAGAGAGAGAGAGAGAGAGAGAGAGAGAGAGAGAGAGAGAGAAAGAGAGAGAGAGAGAGTTTTCACGTATGCCCTACTCTCTCAATTTCATATATTTTATCTTAGTTCCACTTGTACATTTTTCACCAACATCAGACCATTATGATGAATATATATATTTCTACAGCAGGAAAAAATATATCTTTAAAAAAAGTGTACGAAGAAGCACAATTACGTTCTTTTTAGGGCCTATACAGTATGATAACGTTATGAACGTGCAGCAAATGGATGTACTTAAAGAGCTCCCTGAGTAGGAACAATATTAAATTAACTTAGTCTACTTTCGCTCTCTTTATTTTTATTTTTGTTGTTGTTGTTGTTGTTGTTGTTGTTGTTGTTGTTGTTCTGAGCTCGACATTCAGACCCGAGGAACCGAAGCCGACAAAATGTAAGCCTTATTTCAATCACTAATGAACATGTAACTTAACAACTTTCCTCCA